CATCCAAGAAATAAAAAACACCACGAAGAGAAGAAACCTAAGAATAATAGGAATAGAAGAAAGAGGAGATTCCTGGCTCCAAGGACCAGAAAGTATTTTCAACAAAATCATTTTTGGGGAAAAATTTTTCCCCATCTTAAGAAAGAGATACTTACAAGCATACAAGAGGCCTACAAAACACAAAATAGATTAGATCAGAAAAGGAAATCCTATTGCCATGTAATCAAAACACCAAATGTACAGAACAAAGGAAAAAAAAAAACCCTAAAATCTGCAAGGGATAAAGGCCAAGTAACATATAATGGCAAACCTATCAGAATCACACCTGACTTCTCAGCAGAAACCATAAAATCCAGAAAGACCCCGGTAGATGTCATGCAAACTCTAAGAGATCATAGATGACAGTCCAGATTATTCTACCTAGCAAAATTTTCAATCACCATAGATGGAGAAAACAAGATATTCCATGACAGAACCAAATTTAAACAATATCTATGCACAAACCAAGTCCTACAGAAGATACTAGAAGGAAATCTCCCACCTGAGGAAGTTAACTACAACCAACCACCCAAACAAAAAACCTCATAAGATATAACTAACTTCACACAGTAAAACCAAAAGTAGACAAGCACACAAATACACTACTATAACCAACATCAAAATAAAATGAACTAATAGTCACTGGTCATTAATATATCTCAACATCAGTGGACTCAACTCTTCAATAAAAAGACACAGACTAACAGAATGGATGTGTAAACAAGACCCATCATTCTGCTGATTACAGGAAACATACCTCAGCCACAATGATAGGGCTGGAAAAAGGTTTTCTAAGCAAATGGATCCTAGAAGCAAGCTGAAGCAGCCATTCTAATACTTAATAAAATAGACTTTTGTTTATCTTGAGGAATGTGTACATTTTACCCTTGTTCATTCAAATGCTGATTTCTCCACCCCATTATCTGGTTTCAATCCAGACATTGCATCACCTTAAAGTAAGCATCACCTGTCTCCAGTTTGTGTAAACATGTAACCATTTCTTCTCTGTGTTGCTAATAAAAACAACCAGCCAACGCTAAGCAATGGAGAGAATGGGGTGGGGGACATCCTGGTCCAGAGGATGAGGGGAGGAGGAAAAGAGGAAAAAAAAAGGAGTGGGAGAAGATATATGAGAGAAGAGGACCTGGAAACATCAGGAGAAATGAACATCAGGAGGACCTAAGATATGACTAAAAGGCAAGTATAATGTGGGAAATCTTAACGGGAGGAAGCTATGCAGGCTTGGAGATTAGGACAGATTAATTATTGCCCAGCATTGTGCTCAAGGTTAATGAAGTAAATCCTAGTCTCTGTGTGGTGATTTGGGTATGCAGCTGGTTTAGGAATAGCCATTGTTTAGCTAAAAGATAAATCAATATTAAATATTAATCATTATTATTGGCATAATGTTCTTGTGGAATGTATATAATTTGCCCTTGTTCATTCAAATGCTGATTTCTCTACCCCACTATCTGGTTTCAATCCGGACATTGCATTGTGATGCTTAAAGTAAGCATCATCTGTCTCAAGTTTGTGTAAACATGCCACCATTTGTTTTCTTTATTTTCAATAAAACAACCAGTCAGTGCTGTGCAATGAAGAGAATAGAGTGGGACATTGTAGTGGGGTGGGGAGGGGGAAGGAGAAAGAAGCGAGTGGGAGTGGTCAGAGAGGCAAGATCAGCAGGACAGGACTTGGAACCATGAGGAGAGATGAACTGGACCTAAGATATGACTAAAAGCAAGTATAATGGGTGAAATCTGAATGGTAGAAAATTATGTGGGCTTGGAGGTTTAGGATGGAGTAATTATTGCCCAGCATTGTCACTACTTAACTAAATACATCCTAGTCTCTGTGTGGTGATTTGGGCATACAGCTGGTTTAGGAATAACCACCCTTTAACTAAAAAGATAAATCAACAATAAACTTTAATAATCAACAACACATTATCAACAGACTTTCAACCAAAATTAATCAAAAGATATGAGGAAGGACACTTCATACTCATCAAAAAAAATTTCACCACGACATCTCAATTCTGGACATCTATGTCCCTAATACAATGGCTCTCACATTTGTAAAAGAAACATTAATAAAACTTAAGCCACACACTGATCCATACACATTAATCCTGGGAGACTTCAACACCCCACTATCACCAAAGGACAGGTCAAATAAACAGAAAATAAACAGATAACCAATGCCCTGACAGACATTATGAATGAAATGAAATTAACAGACATCTACAGAACTTTTCACTCAAGCACAAAAGAGTATACCTTCTCTTAGCACATCTCCAAAATAGACCATATAATCAGCTACAAAGCCAGCCTCAACAGATACAAGAAGTTTGTAATTATTCCTTGTATCCTGTCAGACCACCATGCACTAAAGCTGGACCTCAACAACAACAGAAATAGTAAAAAGTCTACAAACTCATGTAAACTGAACAACTTTTTACTCAATGACAACTGGGTCAGGAAAGAAATGAAGAAAGAAATTAAAGACTTCCTAGAATTCAATGAAAATGAAGACACAAAATATCCAGATTTATGGGACACAATGAAAGCAGTGCTGGAAGGAAAGTTCATAGCACTAAATGCCTTCATAAAGAGATTGGAGACATCTCATACAAGTGACTTAATAGCATACCTGGAAGCCCTAGGAAAGAAGAAGCAGACACATCCAAGAGTAGTAGCTGGCTGGAAATAAACAAATTCAGGGCTGACAGGGGTCCTGAGACTGATACTCCAACCAAGCACCATGTATGGAGATAACCTAGAACCTCTGTACAGATGTAGCCCATGGCAGCTCAGTCTCCATGTGGCTCCCTTGTAAGGGGATCAGCGGTTATCCCTGACATGGACTTGGTTGCCTGCTCCTTGGTCACTTCTCCCTGGCAGGGAGGCCTTGCCAGGCCACAGAGGAAGAAGATCAATGCAGTCCTGATGAGACTTGTTAGGCTATGGTCAGATGGTAGAGGAGGAGGTCTCCCCTTTTATGTGGATTAGGGGAGGAGGATGGGGAAAAGACAGACGGAAGGTGGTATTGGGAGGTGACAAGTGAGAGGGTACAATTGGGATATAAATTGAATGAAGTATAAAAAATAAAAACAAATAAATCCTGGGTGGAACCTGGTTGGTATTATGGTTGCTTGGGAAACTGAGGCCAGTGCCATTGTTCTCTAAGTTGTGAACATGAGATTTTATTTTAATTACAAGAGGAAGCCAGTGAAGTCTGTGCAGGGATATGATATTAAGGTCTAAAGGCATCCTGGCTGCTGGCTGGGGGATGTACTATTGGGAAGAAGTAGAATCTCTTGTAACCTGCCAGTATTCCTGGTATTGTTTTTCAGTCTCCTCATTAGAGGTGGGCCTTTGCACTTGTTCAATTTTGTATTTCTGCCCAAGCTCATTTTCTTGTCCACCTAGGGTTTGTATCAGTTCCTTGTCCCTTTTACATCACTTCGTATGCTTCTCTCAAATTCAGCTTTCCTTTCTTAGTTTCTCCACACATTTTTGGGAGGTTGACTCCTTTATGCTTTCCCAGTGAGTGCCGATATTACCTATAGAAATCCACCCACAAGCCTTCTTTAAATGGCCTTGCATCTCTTTTGGTATTGTCTCCAAGTTCTGCCTTGCTCAATTGCTCATTCAGGTCCAGAATTCTAAATGACTCCATACCCTGTCCTCTGAACTCCATTTTCTATAGAAAGTAACTAACTAACTAACTAACTAACTAACTAACTAACTAACTAACTAACTAACTAACTAACTAACTAACT